AGAGGTTGGACAGAATTTATCCTTTATCTAACCATCCTTCCAAAAAATTTATTGAGTGCCTATTCTGTGCTAAGCATCATTCTAAGAGAAACAATAGGTATAACATAAAATCCCCTAAGCTTTTTGGGCAGCAGATGATAGGGGGATGAGCCATAGGTAGCAAACAAAAAGGAATGATCACTTCAAATCAAGACGATGCATTAGGAGGCTGTTCTCCCAGGGGCCCGGCTATGCGGTGGTCTGCATCTGTGCTGCTTATCAAGGAGTCATTAGAGTGGCCAGTGCCATCTTGGCAGCAGTAAAACAGGACCACAGAGCTTCGCATAGCTTTCTAATACCATGAAAAATAAATAAAGCAGGTGTGTGGGATAGAAAGTGAGCAGGGATGGCATGCGCGTTAGTGAGGGAGGACAGGCAGGGCCTTGCTGAGGCCCAAAGATGAGAAAAAAATAATGACATGATCTTGAGGAGTGTTCCAGATGAGGGCCTACTGAGTACAAAGTTTTGGGGAGGAATCCAGCCTGGCAGGTGCAAGGCACAGAAAGAAAGCCAGAATGTTGGAAACATAATGAATGAGGGTGAGAATGGGAGGGGATGAGGATGGAGAGGTAGGTAACAGCCAGAATACAGAGAACTTTATAGACTATAGTAAGTTGCTTATGATTTTTAAGCTGCAAGAAGTCATCGGAAGAGTTTAAGCGGTAGAGTGATTGCATAAAATCTGTTATTTGAAAGGTCATTCTGGTTGCAGTGAGAACAAAAGATGGGATGGAATGTGGTAAGGTGGGTGTGGGCAAGAGAGGAGGACCAAATAGGAGGACGTTGCAAAAGTCCAAGACACGATTTTGGCTTGGACTAGGGAGATACCAGTGGAGATGGTGAAAGACAAATGGACTTGGCCAATGCATTCAAAATACAGGCCTTTCTAATGGATTGACTATGGGCAATTCTGGGAAGATGGACATTAAAGAGGACTATTTTATTCGTGAAATTATTATTATTATTTTGAGTCTCTGCTCTGTTCTAAGCACTGTGTTAGGCATTGGGATATCGTGATAAGCTAAAGTAGACATAGAGTTATCATGATTCGGTTTAGACTTGACGGCAACCAACAAACAACAAACCAGACATAATTCTTGCCTTCATAGAGCTTAAAATCTGTTGAAAAACATCATTAAAATAATTATACTAATAAATTAATAACTGTAAGCTCAGAAAAGAGAAATGAAGTAAAGCTATGTGGTAATGTAAAAGCATTTAATGGAGAGACCTAATTTAGCAAGGGCATGTGGTGTGGGGATGGTGGTGGTGGGTTTGGGGGTAGAGAGGACATGCCAGGTCAGAGAAGACTGAGAGCTGAAAGAGAAGTTGGTGAGAAGCACTGGGGATACAGCAGGGGAAGGGCTCAGGCCTGGTAGTAGGAAAGGAGTGGTGCAAGTTTGAGGAACTGACCTAAGAGGGCCATTGAGACTGGAAGGCAAAGTGGGAGAGGGTGCGAAGAGATTGGAAGGGCATAGCACTAAGCAGACCATACATAGCCTTGTTGGCCATGTTAAGGAGATTGGTTTGTATCTTAAAAACTGGAAACCTTATAAAGAAGTCTGTCTAATTGTTAAGATTTCTTCCTATTCCAAATTCTATTATTTTTCCATGATTTAATTTGAAGTAAGAAGAGGGCAGTGCTGCAATGTGACCTTCAAAAAACAGTGAAACAGTTGGCATTTGATTAACATAATTAGAGAGCCTCTCAAAGAATCAGTAAGCTGGATCATCTTCCCCTCAGGTGCAATTGACCATTTCAGGATAACATAGTCATTATAGTCCTGGTATTATGACACCATCAGCATGATCTTTCCCAAGCATGGACTGCCTTTAGCCCCTGTAACATAGGCTCTTCTCTGGACCCCTGGGTTTTATGAGCTTATGCAGCATGGAAACAGGCCCAGCGAATGCCTGTGTAGGTAAACTAAAGTAATGGATACAACAGTTGTGGGTTTCAAGTTACAAAAACCATACCCACTGATGTTAAGAAGGTGATTAGACAATCTTCTTAAGTAAATAAACTATATCTGGATACTGATGCCAAACTTTCTACTCTCTGGAATAAAAAGATTAAAATATGAAAGATTTTGTCCAGTTGTTCTCAATGGGGGACCATTTTCCCCCCAAGGGGACATTTAGTAAAGTCTGGAAGCATTTTTGATTTTGACAATTGGGGTGAGGATGCTACTGGCATCTAGTACATAGAGACCACGGATGCTGGTAAACATCCTGTAGCAGAACAGAATATACAGGACAGTCTCCCACAACAGAGAATTATGTGGCTCTAAATGTCAATTGTGTCTAGACTGAGAATCCCTTACCTTAATACCTTGTAATATATTGCAAATAATTCTGTCATATCAAGAGGTCTCAAAGGAAATAACTGTCATATACGGATGGAGACATGCTTCCAGAAGGAGATGGGTGGGTGAAATGAGCTCAGGTGAAGTAAAAATTCTGCACGTGTTAGTGCTTTTTATTTGCATTTTTTCTACTTTTTCAAAAACAATTGTACATCCACTACTATATGACCATAATAAACTGCTCACTCCCTTCTTCCTGTGATGCCTTTCTCCTGCTGAATGTCCAGTGACCTCTTCCTTCAGCTGGGGCTTGAGCATCATCTCCATGGTGAAGCCAATCCTGATTTCCTTCAGAAGAGTCAGATCTTCCCTAGACTGTGCTCTCGCAGGACCCTGTACTTACAGAGTATTTTAAATATTGTGTTATATTGGAAGTTTTTGACTCGTCTTAGGTTAGGAGCCAAATTATAAATAAACAAGGAGTAAGATTGATGGGTACACAATATTACCTTTATTACTAATAAAATCTGGGTTGGAGGATGTAGCTTAGAAAATGAGAGCCAAATAACCTTCCCAACCTAGACCAGACTTACCTGCCCTGTCACAGAGATCTAGACAAGAGCAGGCTTCACTATGTTGGGGAGAAGGGCCTTCTCCTGGGGAAGCAGCAGAGAATGCCAGTCCTTTACAGGAAGTTGCTTCCCACAAGGAAGATAAGAGAAGGTGATTCCTTCTAAATATAATCAGATAAGTCACATCATCTCTCTAGTGCAGAGTGGGGGTTGGGAAAGAGAGAGGTCCTGAGTTTTACAAATTGAGCTCCATCCACATAGTAAAGAACAACAACATCAAGGGTGGGAAAGATGCTTCCCCACTCTGCACCACTGCCATACATTGGAACTTTTTGTTTGTCAGCAGTACCTATCACCTGTGCTATCCAGTACAGTAGCCACTAGCCACATGTGGCTATTTAAATTTAAATTGATTAAAATTAACTAAAATTTAAAATTGAAATTTTCAGTCACACTGGCTACATGTCACAGTGGCTATTATATTGGATAGTGTAGCTATAGAACATTTCCATTGTCACAAAAAGATCTAACAGGTGGTGCTGATATGAGCCTATTGTGAACTGAGATTTTGTCTTACTCATCATTTTATCATCAGTGCCTATAACAAGGCCTGACTCAGAGGCACTCAGAAATGTTTGTTGAATGAATATGTGATAGTAGAGTATTATGTTTTTATTTCTCAAATCTGTATGTCGTAAAGATCTTTCCATTTCAAAGCAGCCCAGTATAAAAATGAAACACGGACATATTGTTAACTGAAATAATGTAAACAATATGTATTTTATAATCCCATTTTTATTTAGAAATAATTATTTGTAGGCATAGAGATATATGTATTCAAGAGCATAGGAAGATATTGGAGGATACCCTCCAGACTATATACACCATCTGGTGGTTGATATCGGGGGAGGGGAGTAAGGAGGAACTTTTTACTTAAATACTTGTTACTAGGAAAATGAATTACTTTTGAGTTTAAAAAAATAGTAACAGACTAGGTAGATGTTAACTTACCCAATATACAGATTAATAATGGCTGTTCTCAGTGTCAAGTATTAATGAAAGGCAATTTTAAGAGTAAATAGACTGAAGTATTAAGAAAAATGATATTGAACTCTAAGGACAAATCACAGCCATCAGCCTAACGGATATTGTATGCAAGCCATGAAATGTGTCTCCTCAGGAGTGTGCAAAGTAATGTTTTTTCACCCAAAATATGGCTCCCTGGCTAAGCTGCAGAGAAGGACAAAGCCAGATGGCACCATTGTCATTTTTCTCTTGTTATACCTCCTGACCCAGGAATACGCCGTCTCCCACCTCTCCTTATAGAAATTACTTTTGCTTGTCACAGGCATAGTCTTCACCCTGGGAATGGGCCTAGTAGCTGTATGGGGGCCAGAATCCTGACACACTGGCTGTGAAAATTCTCTTGCAGCTTTACCATGCTCCTGGTTTGGTAGTTTACAAGCTCACAAATACTGGACCAGAATTCTGTCCATAAAATTGAGACATTCTATTTGACAGGACTAAATCTAAATTGCTGAAGCAGGACATTAAAGCCTGAAACAGGACATTAAAGCCTGAAGCTGTGCCTTAAAAAGTAGGGCCATCTAACCCACAGTAAAATTAAACTTAGTTTCAAATGAATATCTCTAGACACCATAGCTGTTTTATCAGAAAAGGCTATCGTTAAGAGAATACTAAAACCAAATGAGAATGACAAATAAAATAATACAGAAAGTTCAGTTCAATTAGCAGTCAGGCTATTTTGTTGCATGCTCAGTTGATGGGAGAAAATAATATTTTCATCAAACAATTAAAATGAATGGATTTGAAAATATGAATATAATCACCCAGAAAAAATGACATTAACAAAATAGTTTTAAAAATGAGCAGAATAGAAATGATTTCTTTGTAATTATTATGTTCGTTGACTATTTATTATTTATTCTTAAATCATGATAGATTTTGGGCTTGGCTAAAACTCCCTCAGTATGACTTCCTGGGGACTGATATTTGAAGATGTTGAACTATTTTGGTAAATTGGTCTTTAATTTTTTTTTCTGTTACTGTTTTTATTTTTCAGACTCACTATGAAAATGGGGAATATATTATCAGGCAAGGTGCAAGAGGAGATACCTTCTTTATCATCAGCAAAGGAAAGGTAAGGTTTGGTGGCGCAAGAGGACCCTGGGCTTGTCAGCGCCCCCTGGAGGAGCACGTGTGTACAGTCTTGTGCTGCCCAAGTTTTTCTATTTACTGACGTTGATAGAGAAATATGTTAGAGTGGATCTTCCAAAAGCGATTCAGAAGGAAGACAAAGTACAACTCTGAAGACCGGTAAATAGTCTGTGTGACAGTTAATAACCATGATGCTAGATGACGTGGATATGTCCGGGTCAACGGAATGGTTTCTGTAATCTGTTATTGTTGTTGTTGGATGCATTGGAGTCCATTTCAGCTCATAATGACTCCATGTGACAGAGTAGAACTACCCCACAGGGTTTTCTGGGCTGTAATCTTTGAGGGAGCAGATTATATAATTTACAAAGAAAAGACAAGGGATTTCAAAAACATCTGTATGATTTAAAAAAAAAAAAAAAAATCCATGCCGTCATTAGGAGGAGAAACATGCTATAATGAAATATTTTAGCTTTGAGATCGGATGGCTCAAGTTGAACCCTGGCTATGAAACTTACTGGTTAGTGTCCTTAGGCAAGTTGCTTAACATTCTGAGGGCAATAAGGTTATAAACATATCCATGTATTATTGTTTATTCAAAAAGAAACATTAAATGACTACTAGGGAACTAATAAAAGTGATAAGTTATAGGGGAGAGGGTGAAAATGGTGTGGATGAGGGACATGAATGAGAAATCATAATTTATGCCTTAATATATTATTTTGATTTTGTTTTTAGCAGTTTTAGTCTATTATAATTTCGATTTAAAAACTAAATAAGAAAGTAAGTGAATTGGTAAATGGAGACTTACTTAGATTAATACATTAATGTTATATTACCACCAAACCCAAGACCCACTCCGACTCATAGCGACCCAATAAGACAGAGTAGAACTGCCCAGAGGGTTTCCAAGGTTATAAATTTACAGAAGCAGACTGCCACATCTTTCTCCTGCAGAGTGGCAGGTAGGTTCAAAGCACTGACTTTTTGGTTAGCAGACAAGTGCTTTATCCACTGTGCCACCAGTGCTCCTCTGTATTACCACAAATACCTTAAATTTCTTTCAACAGTGAAGCCATAATCAATTTTGCATTTTAGTGTCATCACCCTGTATCCTGTGATATGTACTTCTTTTTCTTTATCCTAAGTGATCCTTACAAAGAATTTCTGCCTGTATATGTATCAATTATAGTAAGAGATGGGAAAGGAGGAGTAGGTAGAGCAGATACACATGTAAGTTTTCATTTTTAAAATGGTAAACATTTAAGAAGATATTTATTCTTTTTCTAATCTAACAGGTAAAACTGACTCTAGTACCTTATCCTCATATTTATAATAGGAAAAGGAGATATTTATAGGGCTAGAGTTAACAAGATATGTGAAAGATTATAAGTCTTGTTGGATCACATTTTAGATGATCCTCTCTGGAATAATTTTGAATCAAGAATGTGCATATGTCAGTGTTTGCACAAGTGGCACGTCACACTAAAGTGAAGGAAACCATATATATGTATGTATATACATACATAAATGGAGCCCTGATGGCCTAGTAGTTAAGAGCTCGGCTGCTAACCAAAAGATCAGCACTTCAAATCCACCAGCTGCTCCTTGGAAATCCTATGGGGCAGGTCTACTCTGTCCTGTAGGGTCGCTGTGAGTCAGAATCGACTCGATGGCACCTAACAACTACAACAACATACATAAATCCATATAGGTATGTATATAGATAGTTATCATTTTGACTGATATCTTAAAGCATGAGATAGAAATCAAAGTTAGGATCCAGCTTCTTAAAAGGCCTCATGAAATGAGATGTATGACCACAGTTATGGTTAAAATTTTATCTTATATTTTCCAGTGTTAGAGGATAAGAAAACGTTAACATTTTGTGGTTTATATGATAGATTGTTAGAGTTTACCGTTTACCGTTTTCTTGCTTAACATTGACCGAAGAATCAGAGAAATTTGAAAATCCCCATGGGCATAAATAACTCCATTGGTCACAAGGGAACTTTTCGTCCTGACGATTGGATTTACTTTTTCTTTACTACACTGCTAGCTTTTTGCTGTAATGGGGTGATATGGGGGTGATATGGTTATCCTTTACAATAGAGTTCTGACAGGCTTCTGCAACCACCCTATTACTGCAAATTTTCAGCACTGCCTGAAAGAAGCAGTGGTTTGTAACCAGTTTCAGCTGAAGACAGGTGCTTCAGTGGTGCTATTTTATGAGTTTTGTAATATGTATAAATAGAAACTGTGTGCAGATTACACCACAGGCCCCAATTCCCTTGGCAATATTTCAGAGCACCCTGGGGATTATGGGAGAGTCGTGTAAGAACATATTAGACTCTCCTGACACATTCAAGATTTTTTTTTTTAACCAGGCATACATTTTTCCTAACCTGGTCTTTCAGGTCCCACAGGTTAGCTACTGTGATTCTTAATTATATTAATTATGCAATAATTAATGTTGTATATATTAATCATATATATTATATATGTTAATTGTGTAATGATTAATATATTACACTGTACATTAATTATATTAATTCTGCTATTAGTGTATCAGAATCACTGTATAAAGTCTTAAGAATTAGAAGGTGATCATACTTAAGTCTTAATGGCAAGGAACAGGAAAGAGAAGAGTGATGAGGGAGTAAATTCAGGTTAGCTGGCAAATAAGCTGCAAAAGGAAAACTTTGTAAAACTGTATGTTTTGTTTTATACATAAAAATGCAAACTTATGTTTTGTATGGATTTTAAAAATTTATAAAGGAAAGCCCAGGCAAAGGCATTGTCTTTTTTACTACCAATCTGGCTCAGAAAATGCTGTGAGATCAAACAAGACAAGACGCATAACGGGGCTGCAGAGCTACAAATGCATTTCCCCTTGTTTGTTTCCATCTATTTGAGTGGAAAAGAGTATTTATTCTCCCCTAAAATACACTCACACAAAAAGAAAAATATTATAAAATAAATTGTGAGATACTTGTTTTCCTCCATTAAACTAGCAGCACAAACTGATTTTTCTAAAACTTTAGGTGGAATGCTTGTGGAAATGTCTGAAGTTAGTTCTGTGTTCTTTAATCAGTCTATCCCAGTTGCCTGGCAACATGGCTTTTTCCCCCAGAGCATCAAAAGAATTCACAACTGAGTATGAAAAATATATCTGATAAAACTTTATGGCTATGTCCTTGAAGTTGTGTTCTACCAAAAAAATCAACTTTGTCTCCATAAATAAGTTGAAGCAAAATGAACAGAATTTTATCATAAAATTTCAGGGTCTCATTAATAATTTATGTACATTTTGACTTTTTCTGAATTCTTTATAACTTATATGCTACTATTAGAAAAAAAAATGTGATTAAAAAATTCCTAATCATTAAATGCCATTTAATACCACATAGCTTTGCTTCTTAGAATCACTGTGTATTTAAGCATATTGGTTAAACATGTTGGCTCAACACAATGGTCAGTGTTGATACATATGAAAAGTGTTTGTTCTTTTATGGAAATTTTATTCATTATACATAATAGTGAAACATGAGGAGCAGTTCCTTTGAGATCAAAAGCAAGATAAGGATACTTATTGTCACCACTCTCTTCAATGTGCTTTAAAATTGGCAAATATGTGATTTTTTTTATATTATGTGTGTACTAAATTATAAACATGAACAAGGGTATGAAGAATACAAAATTCAAGATAGGAGTTTTGAGAAAGGAGGTGGTGCATGTGGTGGGTAGAAATTTTAATTTACTCCTGTGTTTCACAAAGGGTTCAATTGTCAAGTCAGAATCATAGGAATCATAGATCTTGCCCACATTGAACTTTATTAATGAGTCAAAGGAAAGGGATAAACTTAAAAAGAAAGAAAAAACATGCATTATCTGTATATGCCTTAAACTACCGACTCTTGAAAGTATCCTTCTCCTTCTGCATTAAAAACCCATTGCCGTCGAGTCGATTCTGAGATGCTATAGGATAGAGTAGAACTGCCCCAAAGGGTTTCCAAGGAGTGCCTGGTGGATTCGAACTGCTGACCTTTTTGGTTAGGAGCTGTAGTTCTTAACCAATACACCACCAGGGTTTCCCCTTCTGCGTTAGGAGCCTTTTTTCGTTTTGGAATAATAGGACCAGTTTTTCAGCAATATGTGCAGAACGTTGTATGAAAAGGTAGTTGTTTTGGTTTGGGGAGCTCTTAAATTTTATAGTCTACAGATAGAAAAATGCCTACCTAACTAAGCCTTATTCTCCAGCTGGTCTTAACCCACGCGTCCATAAATTCCAGATTTGTTTACAAAAAGCAATCTAGACAGACCAGTATATTCTGCTAAAAATATTTTATAGATAAGGATTCTCTATGAGCTTTATCTCAGTAAATACCAATAGCAATTTATAAGGTAGTCTCTGAAGTCATTATCACGTTTGCAAGGGGTTTTTGGTTGAGGTTATTCATTCCTGCTTCCAAAATCCCTGGTTAGGAGAGATTGAGTTACAGGCCTTCCAACTAGTAATGGTTATGTTCTTAAACTAGGTTGAAAGGTAAATGGATGCTGGTTTTGTTTTCTTTAAGTTTTGCCTATATATTTTGTATACTTTTTGTGTACATGATATATTTAAAAGTGCAAAAATCAGTGAAAAAGCCACATTTCTTTGCTTCTCAAATAAACATGTTGAATCTGTACTGAAACCTTTTTTTTTTATAGTGAATTGTTTTGCTTAAGCATGTTAGTTAAGCACACTGATATTATTTATTGAAGATTGTGGTATTAAAGGTCAATTTTATGTGTCCCATTTAAAAAAAATCAAATTTCTAGTTTGATTCTTAGTTTTAAAATATACATATAGTCTTAAATAGTCAAAAAATTATAAGACCATACATACTATTTATAGAAAATTAAAATATAGTCAAGTAAAAAGAACATTAAAATACACATACTATCTCTTATCTACCTTGAGGCAAAGGTAGCCAATGCTCTAAATACCATTTTATGGCAATAGTAAAAGAGCAACACTAGTAGATATGAAATAATTGTTTTATTATCAAATGTATGGAATTTCTGAAGTGGGAATTGAGAGAAATAGAAGAAAGGAGAAAAGAAGTATAGAAAAAGTAACGAAAACTTTTTTGACACTTACTATTAAGTGGATGTTTTTCATAGATGAGCTCCTTTAATTCACACACACACACACACACACACACACACACACACACACACACACACGCACACACACCCCTCCCTATGGGATAACTATCTCATTTTGCAGAGCAGGTACACAGACTCAAACAGACCAAATATTATCTTTAAGTCTCAGTAGCTAGTTCTTTTCCACAACATTATGGATCAAAAATACTTCGTAGTTTAAGTGTGAAAATAATAGGTATACAGGCCAAGGATAGAGAGCTATTTCTGTATATGTAACTTTCTCTAATTTTTTTTTCCAGAATAAAGATGTGAATGTTCATGATTGGTGTCTGTGTGTATTTAGAACAATGCATTAAATGCACAAATAAAAAATGTGGAGCTTACAACTGTAAAGTGAAGCATTTAATGTTTAGTTTTGAGCTGCATATCTTTTGGATTATTCAGATAGGTTTTTCCACACATTGATCACATAAGCAGAAAGTGCTTTATTCTGTAGATGGTTCACTTTCTGTTTTATGTCTCTGTTACTGCATTTCAACATCTTTTAAAATAACACTTCAGAATCCACTAATAGCTCTCAAATGACTTACATAAATCTGCCACTTTGAATTTATACCATTTTTTATTCACCAAATAGAAAATATACAGTTATGAAATGTATCCATATATCCAATTTTGAATTAATGCTCTAAACCTATAGCACATTACACCCTAGTATATGATTTTTTTAGCAGCTAGTTGGAAGGACAGAAATCATTTTGTTGAACTGCATCATTGTATAGAGGAGGTCACTGAGGTTCAGAAGTATTATGACAATTCATGTATGTCTGTCAGCAATTGGCCTGTAGAACACTTAGCATGGGTATCACCTGCATTAATCTTTTGAAATAAGATTTCCCAGACCCACCGAATGACAACCTCAAGAATAAGGGTCCACCTGGGTGGTGCAAACAGTTAGCACACTAGGCTGCTAACCAAAAGTTGGTGGTTCGAGCCCACTCGGAGGCACCTCAGTTTCCATGGTTTTGAAACACTGTTGAGGAGTAATCAAATGGATCAATAGAGAATAATAACTGAGTTCCCTCCTTTCACAGAGCTGAATATTTATAAAACCTCTGGTCTTTGACATCCAGTCTCTAGATTCAAAAACGTGAAGCATAGTATTTTTAAATGTGTTTAAATGTCTGGCATTGTCTCAAGAAATTAGTTTTTCTACTTCATTACATTTTCCAGATAGGTGAATTTTAACGATTCAACCTTTCTGGATGTCACATAGACAGCATTATGAATATTAGCGGAACGTGAGGGGGAAGTGAATTAACACAAAGGTACAACATACTGCATTAATGTCTTCATTCATGCAACAAAAATTCATTGTAACTTGCTTTCCATGGACCAGCACACAGGCCATGAATCCTGTTGGTGCTAGGATATCTTATTTGTAATGAAGATTTTCTGATGAAACAATTTACAGCTCTCGATTGAGTGCTTATTATAAATTTTAGAGAATGCCAAAGAAATGTTACTTTCTCTGAACAGCATACTATCTATTATGTAAAAAAAAGACTTATGTAATTTATATATCTTTTAAAAGAGAAATTCTGCTGAATGAAGCATGTGGATCATGACATATAGTCAGTTAGAGCCCTGCAGAAAGGTTTCATGGCTGTGAACTGGCCTTTGAATGAAGGCTGGGTTTTTCTTAGAGAAAGAGACGGGCATATCCTAGAAAAACTGAGATGTATATGTGGAGAGGAGTTCCTGGGTTGTATAAATGGTTAACATATTCAGCTGCTAACTGAAAGATTGGAGGTTCGAGCCCACCCAGAGGTGCCCTAGAAAAAAGACTTGGAAAACCAGAGATTGAAAACCCTGTGGAGTATAGTTCTACTCTGACACACGTGGAGTCACCATGAGTCAAAGTCACCTGGAAGGCAACTGGTTATATGTGGAGATGTGTAAATGATGTTCACTGCAGCACTTTAATAGCAAACAACTGAACATATAAATGTCCCAACAATGAAATGAAGAAATATATTTATATAATGGAGTAAGACACTGAAACATAAAAATGGATGAACTAGGTTCATACTAATAACATGGAACAGATAATCTAAACAATGTTAAGAGAAAAAAATAATTTTCAGAATGATGTATATAGTAAGACACTAAAACATAAAAATGGATGAACTGGATTTATACTGATAACATAGGACAAATAATTTAAGCAATGTTAAGAGAAAAAAAGGAAGTTACAGAATGATGTATATGGTATTATTCTATTCATGTATTCTGAAAGATTGTAGGAACAGCCACTAAATTCATTGCAGTAGTTGACTCACAGGAGGTAGGATTAAGTGAAATTCAAATTCCCTAATATATATATTTTTTAATTTCTTGAAAAAAAAACATGGAAGTTTAACAAAATATTATCAGGTCAGTTCTTATGGTTTACATGAAAATTTGTCATATTATTCCTTGCCCCTTTCACTGGTAATTTAAATTTGTTTTCTTCATAAAAATAAGTTAAAAAAAGAAGAAGAAATGGAATTAGTATTCTCAATTAGTGTTCACTTGATCATCCAGGGAATGCAGTGGTTTTAGACTTTCATTGCATCTCTTTGCAGGTAAATGTCACTCGTGAAGACTCACCAAGCGAAGACCCAGTTTTTCTTCGAACTTTAGGAAAAGGAGATTGGTTTGGAGAGAAAGCGCTTCAGGGGTAAGTTAATCATCTGTTACACCATTTTGGGTTGAGTACTACATAAATTCCTGTCTTAGATTTTGAGCTCCTAGCAAAATAGGCTGTCTATTTAGTGTTTATTGTAATATCAGACACAGACCTTGATGGTAATTTTTATTTATTTCCAGTTAGACTTGAAATCAGTTTATATAGGTTGCAGGATTAATTTTCAGAATAAATCATTGTTACATAAACAGGAACATTTCTCAGCTTTGTGTTCCTTAACTGCGTTCTCTGTAAAGACTCCAAAAGGGAAAGAACTGTTTTTGCTAAGCTTACTGTGTACAGTTTTACTCAGAATTATAGGAAGAAGGTTGGTTGAGAATTTTGAAATCCTTATATCTGATTGTACAAACAATGGATCAGAAGGCAGTGAAGCCTTTGCAGGGTTTACCTCTGCGTGGTTGTTGTCATCGCTGGCTATAGTAGTGGAGGTGGAGATGGAGGTAATGCACCACTTGCAGGTACACTCTCGATGAGCTTGAAGGCTAGACTAGTAGAGGCAAGCTTCAGGGGGGCTGAAATTGTACTTGTCAACTAAGACCTGAAGAAACAAGTACTTGGGATCTCTTCCCATATGCTATGGAAGAAAAATGTAGTTGACTTTCACAAAGCATTTTACAGAATGCATGACAATTATGACAAATATATTTAGGTACTTTAATCATGTTTCCCAATAAGCAACACATCTCAGGTATCAGCAAATATAGATGAGACTTTTCAAAGTTCACTGCTGTATATAAGCCATTTGAATAATAAATAACAAATAAACATTTATTTTTGAATCAAATTCCAGGTACGGGAGTGTCTACTAGAGAGGAACAGCAATAGGACATAATTTATTCCTAAAATATTTGGGACAGTTTTGCTTCTATTTCAAATTATGCCTTCATATTAAGAATTGCATTATAAGCATTTTGTTTAAAACTACTATGAAAAAAATAGTTTAGGGAGTTTTTTTTGTTTTGTTTTGTTTTCAAGCCACAATCAGATGGTAGTTTTTGTTTTCTTTCTCACTATTTAGCAGCTACAGAAATGAAATAAAGAGATCCTGGTAAATCCTCTTACTTCGGCCATATTGCCTGATGAAAATTCAGAACTAAATGTATTCAGCTTTCTGGTTTTCTTTTACTGAGTTCTTATGATCTGTGCCTAATGAGCATGTACTTGACGTTAGATTTTTCAAGTGACAAAGTTAAAAGAAATAGCATGTTTGGTGTCGATCCACAAAAGAATACAATAAAAACTATATCCAGTATAAACTGCATGAAAATATCCTTTGTAATCTAATCTTTGTTTCCCTTGATTATTATATGTATAGATGATTCTAGAGAATTAGACCACCTGGCTTCATTGGTCCAAGCTTAAATGCCTCTGTGGGAATCGATGTTATTTCTAACATGGCCAAAGAACCAGAAATATTTACTATCATTTTTGACTGAGGTCACAAGAAAAATACCAGAAAATAAGGAATAAATAATTGGGAATTGACAGATTTTCCTTCGTAGGTTATTGTCACTGAATTTCAGAGCCAATTAAAAAACACTTTCATGGTGAGAACACCTTCCTAGAAAGTGTTCCAAGTGACACCGGCATATGGTTTATGGAAAAGTTGCCACATTTTGCTCTGATAGCAGAAAATTTAATGGCAATCCATCTACTTTAATTATTTCTGGCTTTATGGTTATTCTTGTGAATGTCCTGGTGACAGGACTCTCTTTTGCACATAATTGGTCTTCTCCACTGGTCTTTTCTATTTAAAGCACATTCAGTTCTCCCATAACCTACAAAACAATCAACCCATCTCCCTCTCGTTACTCCCTTCCCCACCATTTCTCTCCACAAGCCCCCCTGCCCCATTTTTTCTTATGCCCTTTACCCTCACTTTCTCACTTCTCCATCTGTCTTTATCTGTCTATACTAAGTGCTCTTTTAAATGTCACCAGAGACTCTCTACTTACCCAGTAGAATGTTTTTTTCTCCTCTGTCTTTGACTTGACTTCTCAGCTAGTTTATACTTTTGACCACCCACTTCCTTGTTTAAACTTCCCATACTTTGTTACCCTTGAAATTAACAACATTGTTCAGAATTCCTCATTTTATTTCATAAACTTCACCAATGTTTTGTCCTCAATTCTCTTGATTACACACACCTTGTAAACTCTTCCAGATCTATGATTGCATATTACCTCCATGAAAAGAAGTCCCAAGTATTTATATTCTGAGATGCGCCTAGCATCTGGCACTTATCAGATACTCAGAAGTATTTGTTGAATGAATAAATGAACAAATGAATGAATGAACAAATGAACTTCTGTTACGATGCCCAATCTCGTAATCCTACCTGATTTTGATCACCTCAACTAGCGGAATTTGTTTGGCCGTGCGTCGGAAGTTATGAGCTCAATTGACTCTCTGGGGGCAGGCTGATAATGTAAACGAGTAAAGTAAGGTGAGTAAGGACTATGGTAAACTGGAAAGCCTTATGTAACTATATAGCTAGAAAGCCTATGTAACAGCAACTGAGCACTACATCATTGCTAATCTGCAGAAATGTGTAATGAGCTTTTTAAGAAAAGCAGAAAAAACTAGATTTAAAAAAATGTGAGAGGAGGAAGGGCCAAGATGGCAGAGTAGTCAGACACTTCCGGTAGACCCTCTTACAACAAAGACCCGAAAAAACAAGTAATTAGATTATATATGGCAATCTGGGAGCTCTGAACATCAAAGGCAGAGTTGAGGAACCGGACTGAGTGGCGGGGGGAGGGAGAGATGGTTCAGAAGCAGCGAGGAGTTTCCAGAGCTGACTCAGTGAGAGCCTGAGCCCTTCAGGCCTGAGCAGCTCGTGGGTGAGCAGTGAGGCAGGCAAGCAGCGGTGCTCGAGAGACACGTATTCCACACTGGGAGAAACCCAGTGCCAGAGAGTCTACATGACCATCTGGAACCAGTGAGAAGCCACCCTCATTGGCTAAAGATAAGTACTTGTGTACAGCTTACTGCATGGATCAAAAACACCCCCCTTTGGGAAAAACCTCTTTCCCATTTACCTCCCCGCTCCCTGCTCTGCACTGGGTCCCAGACAGCTTCAGCAATTTCTGAGTCCCCTGAGCTGGAAGTAGGTTCCATCACACGCCCGGAGCCATTCTCCCTGCTTTGGAGAGTGAACAAATTAACGAACAGGGGAAAAAATAAACTGCTGGCTTCCCTAAGCTAGGAACCCAGGGTAGGCGCAGCTCCTTTGCCTAGGCACAGCCATAAGGGATCCATGGACTTTGAGTGCCTTTCCCCCTGTATAGACTTGTGCAGGCCCATCTCAACAGTGTAGGCTCTCATTACCACAGTACACCAGGGTATATACCAGAAGTCTAACTTCAGCTGTTTCAACTGTGAAGTGGCAGGTTCTTGACACTTGACATTTCTCTGCCCATTAAGCAGGGTCTTCACCTACCCACATCAGGGGCCTGAGGACTGGTGGCTCCACCCACACCACCTAGCCACCTGTGATAAGAGCCCATGAATAAGAGGTACCCCCTAGTCCATACAGCCAACAGCATTAGGTGCTCATAGTCCGGCTGCAAAACCCACCTGCTTGTGCACGCTAGGGAACGGACATGCCTTCCTCCTGGACACTCAGGGGCAGCCATCAGCCCCCTGCCTTGCTCAGAGTGTATCCCCCTGCTGCAACCAGATGCCTGTGCCTACACCAATCACCCATGCCTGTCTAGGACTGTAAGTGAGAGCCTACACCACACACTTGATGGCTATCTACCTGGGCACCTGAGCTGAATCCATATAGGAGGAATGGGTGGACTCCTGAGCTCCCATACCTAGTAACTGATCTAACCACCTGGTGACAGGACATTAGAGCTTCAGAGGTGCCAATAATCAAACTAGCTCAAATGAGCAGCTTATTTGGGTATATAAAAACAAAACAAGAAGCTAGGACACAGCAAACATAAAATAAATAAATATAATAACTTATTGATGGCTCAGAGACAACAGTCAATATCAAATCACATAAAGAGGCAATCCATGATGGCTTCGCAAGCTCCCAAAATAAATAATCTAGAAATTTTCCAGAGGAGGAAAATTTCTTGGAATTACTGGAGGCAGAATACAAAAGATTAATATACAGAACTCTTCAAGAAATTAGGAAGGAAATTAATCAAAACGCAGAGCATGCAATAGAGGAAATTAAAAAAGATTAGAGAAGAGCATAATGACAAATTTAACAGTCTGTAAGAATCCATACAGAGATAGCAATCAGAAATCCAGAAGATTAACAATAAAATTTCAGAATTAGACAACTCAATAGAAAGTCATAGGCGCAGAATTGAAGCAATGGAAGTCAGAATTAGTGAGAGTGAAGATAAAGCTCTTGACGCCAACTTATTTGAGGAAAAATCAGATAAAAGGATAAAAAAAATGAAGAAACCCTAAGAATTATGTGGGACTCTATCAAGAGGGATAGCCTATGAGTGACTGGAGTACCAGAACAGGTGGGTATAACAGAAAATACAGAGAGAATTGTTGAATATTTGTTGGCAGAAAACTTCCCTGATATCTTGAAAGATGACAAGGTATCTATCCAAGATGCTCATCAAACGCCACGTAAGGTAGATCCCAAAAGAAAGTCACCAAGACATATTATAATTAAACTTGCCAAAACCAAAGATAAAGAGAGAATTTTAAGAGTGGCTAGGAATAAGCAAAAAGTCGTCTACAAAGGAGAGTCAATTAGAATAAGCTTGGACTACTCAGCAGAAACCATGCAGGCAAGAAGGCAATGGGATGACATATATAAAACCTTGAAGGAAAAAAACTGCCAGCCAAGAATT